GCCTAAATATTGATGAATAGGCATTGCTGAAAGCTCAATGCCATAATGTTTCAAATGTGGAATAGAGAAGATTGATTCCTGCTACAGACTTTCGAATAAGCATAAACGCCGCTAATAAAAGACCCTAATGCCAGTAATATTGATCCAGATGATCCATTGATTGTATCATTCATTAATCAACTTTTATTCAATATCATTGATTGTCTTAACCATCCTGTTTTCTTCTTGAATGGTCTAACTTTTCCTTTTCGCTTTCCAATCCGATTGAATTCAATTTCTATATCATACTTTTACTTCATTAAATGTAAATCAATGAATCGGTACGATAACACAGTAGTATAATTGACTTGGGATTCCTATAAAGGCCGCTGGCATCACTAGCTCATTAATATGATAGCTATGTTGCTTGTAGCTTGAAGAACTACAATGAAGAACATCATCTTTTGTAAGCCAGATGAATCAAATATCGAGCGCTAGATCCGAATACTAATAGCTCCATTTTTGTTTGCTTTCGTTTTATTCCCGATTAGAAGCACAATGAAGTGTTCCGTTATACCTATGGAGTAGGAATTGAGTAATAGGACTGAATGGTGCGCTACTCTGCATAGCACACTACCTCGTTATATATTATCTGATAATGCTATACTGAATACCAACGAGGAAAATTCCAGTTTTGAGATCATTTTCTATTCAAAGTTCAGAGTACAATGCTCAAAATGGTTAGAAAAGATACTGAAATACTGCTACAGTATGTTGGAGAGAGATATTTCAGTTCAGAGATGATGGTAAAGTGCTATTGATGATAAATGTAATATAGAAGAGCAGAGACTACTAGAAAAGTGCAAACAGATTTTTTGCTAGTAGTTTCATATTACAGAGTATAGTAGCAGAAAGAAAACCATTAGTGTATAAATATCCATGAAAGAAGGTTGAGGGTGCTGGAGGCGAGGAGAGTAACATCGATAAAACACAGACCTAGTACTTGGTCAAGAAAGCTTTCTTAATAGCCTGTATATATTTATGGGTCTATATGCCTATTACTAAAAGAAAGAAAAGTATTCAATATGCAAGTAGAGGTGTAGCAACGATTAATGGGCGCTAAAGGTAACGCAGAGGAATGGAAAGTAACTCAGATAAACATAAACCTAGTAGTACTATGCTAGTGCTGTGATTAATCAAGAAAGCTTTCTTAGCTGTATAGTAATAGAAGTAAAGTATTTAGTGTGTATAAGTAGACTTGGAGCAGGAACTTTTAAGAGAAAATCCTTGAAATTCTCTGAAGTGGAGTAACGGCCTATGAGTGCTAAAATTAACGCAAGGGAGTGGAGAGCAATTCAGATAAACACTGGCCTAGTGCTATGCTCGATCAGGAAAGCATTTTTAGCTGTATGGCAATAAGAAGAAAACTATTTAGTGTGCAAGTAGAAGTGTGGGGAGGTGGAAGGATTTATGAGCTGCCAAAGGTAAACACAGACCTAGTGCTGTAGGGAATTAAGAAAGCTCTCTAAGATGTCTAGTAAACTAGCAATAAGAAGAAAACAATTTTGGGCGCAAGAATATGGCAAGGGACGGTTAATGTCACTTTATATTTCACTGTATAAAGAATCCCTGAAATAAACTCTATAGTTTGGATTGCTCTGACAATATGCTAGAGTCTTCTAAATTGGGCTAATAACGCTACAATTCATCACTGATTTGAAATTGCTATCGTAAAACCAAGCTATTGAGAAAGGACGTTATCACGAAAAATGGATATAGTATGGAGGATAGTTTAGCTTAAATCTATTTAATCTTATATTACAAATTAGGTTAATATCGCTACGTTTCATCGCTAACTTGAGATTGCTATCCTAAACTATAGAGAATGGATATTGGTATCTAGAATAGATATGAATGGAGGATGATTTAGCTTAAATCTATTTAATCTAATAATACAAACTAGGCTAATAGCGCTACATTTAATCTCTGATTTAGAATTGCTATCGTAGACTAGCGAGAAGGGAAGTTTTCATGTAGGTTGAATAAAGAATGGGGGATTGTTTAACTTATTAAATCTATTTAATCTGATAACACAAACAGTTTAATTGTCATCATCAATGAGTCCTGCAGTATTTGACTTTGATGAAATAACCCACTTAGGCCTAGTATAGATTTGAGCATGATCAAAGAGCGATTATATCATTAATTAAATTATAGATAGAGAATTAATCGACCACCCAGCTCATGCTATTTGGCCTACTTGTTTACTGACTTAGAGAATAGTTCACCGTGTTCTATCAGTTTGTGGTACTTACTAGCTGTAAACGAAATCATGATTGAGCATTCCATCATGTTGCTTAATGCACTAATAAGTTGGAAACTGGCTTTTCGGGAGGGCAAGTTTAAAAAATATAAGTACAGTTAATTAATAGTTCCTGGAAAAGGATGCAACAGTTTAAACTAGTCCATCTATATTAACTTACTCATAGACTATAAGTGGAAAGCAGAATCTTGTTAAACAAGTTAAATGGAAGCTATCCCCCTCCAGTTAGTGCAGAAAATAATCGCAGCGGGGTTCAAAGTTCAACCATGCAATCGTTCAAGGATAATCTCAAGTAGAGCATTTAATAGCCATCCTTTAAGTTCGACATTGTTAAATGATGGAATCAAGACAGGAAAGTAGCAAATACTAACTTGTAATATCTAGCCAATGCTGATTAATTTATTGCTTTCATTATTTGTTAGCAAACGCTTAGTCAGAATTGAGTCAATTCTGACTCCATCAACGAAAACTGATCCATGGAATTCTGGTCAATTCCTATCAGTTAGGACTAGCAATTATGATCACTTTAATAATCCTACTTTGCATTACTAATGATGATATGATCGCTGCTGCTATTTATAAAGTATAAAATCTCATATGCAATAAACTCGTGGATGATTAATTATCCAAAATATCAAAAAAGAGGATCAAAAGTAAGAAAATTAGCGTGAAGGAGGACAATAATAATGCACCTAGCCGGCCGACTTTCAGCTTCGAATTCCAGGATTAAACCTTACCTTCATAAAAAAAATAGTAATTCACATAGTGACAATGAAGAATTGTAGATCCAATTCGAACAATTTAGCGAGTGCAAGTCATGAGAATTACTTGAATGAAGTTACCTTAACAAATAAGATGGATAACGGTTAAAGGATAACGATGAAAAACTATTGACTAATAACTAGTAAACAGTAATGAGTCACTATTGACTAATGCATAACTCAATAAGAAATCATAAATTATAATTTATGACCAATTAAAATCTTAAAATGAATTGCAAATGGCGATGAACAGTTAATTTTAATGAAAAGGCATGGTGAACAATCCAATTATCCGTGAGGATAGTCCCTATTCCTGGAAAACTAGAAATTGCTGTACTTCATAATAGATTTAAGTGTATAAATAACAACTGTCTTATTGAAAAGCTGCCCTATCTGTTCTACTATAAGCTCTTCGTTAATAATGATCCATTTCAGTTTGTCGACCTAATCAATGAAAATATTAGGCTTCGTAGTGTCTCATTCTTTTTTTCTAATATCAATTTTATATACAGCAGCTTGCACACTCATTTCTATGCACAAGGCGTTATTGTTTGCTAAATTAAATTGAATTCATTTTCAACCATTACTTATCCTCTTACCATTTACGATCAGAGTAAACTATCTTTAGAATAGAAAAAAGATGAATGATATTAATTATCAATTTATAATGAATTGTCCTAGAATAATTTTGAATCTTGCTATTCCAGCAGGATAGGTCTCACTATCCCCAATCCGTCTTCTATCACTTATACCATGTATTATCCAAGCCATGAAACATAAACCCATCTCTCCTCCACCTGCCCATAACTCCATGTCATAGCAAGAATTTCAATCAATTAATTAATTAATTAATTGTAAACTTCTGACAGCATGGTCATTATAATATAATTAATTTATACTATAAATTAGATTATTCATGTTATAAAATAATTTGAACCAATCAATATGGTGGGAAATGTATTAAGTTGTGTCTTGTAAAATCACATGATTGCCGCCATTATCATGATTGGATAGGTTTTAGCACGAGCTGATGATTTGATTTCAAAAGAAAATCTCATTAAGCTATTCTATATATAAGCCCGTAGTAAACGCAAACCTTCTAATATTGATAATGAAAAACAAGAGCTAAATTATTAACACACATAATTCAATACAGTCAGTCCCCTTGTGGAATGCAATCCATGTTATTACCATCAGAATTTTATCCAATAATTAGCTTGACTGATACTCATCCAACTCTCTATCACCTTTGACTTGTCATGCCAATGCTTGCTTTCTTCCATTTAATGGCAAATTGACTATTACATCGATTATTCTCTCAGAATCTTATTCTTTCCATGGTAAAAAAATCGATTGCCTATTCATTCGGTAAGCTATAATTGAAGATTAAAGTTTTCGGATTGCCCATGATGTAGAATAAGCATCATTCTTTCTTTCTTCCATCACCAGTCATCGATGGTAACGATAAATTACTCATATCGAGTAATGGATATACTTTAAATGATGGAATTAGATTTGGAAGAAATTGATTTTAAGTGTTTTCTGTTTTACGGGTTTTCCATTAATTGCAATGGATAAACAATTGCAAATTGGATATAGAATTGGAGCTTTCCAACTTGTACTATTATCGTAACGAAATTTTATCCTTCCTCTATTAATTTTTCTTATGTTCCAACTCTATTATTTTAGGTCGATCCATTTCTTGCCTAGACTGACCGCTGTCATTAATCAACCTAAGGCAGTTTTTTTCTTCTTAATCACTATTCGACATTGATTACTTCCTCCTCTACTTTCAACTTCAATCTATCTATATATATATATACTCATATATATATGAGTATATCCATAAAAAAAACTATTTTATCCGATTTATCTCTTTCTTGGTGGCTCTTTTAAATTAATCATTTTAATTACTATTGACGAACATCACTATGTATACATGTGCTGGTTGTGGAACTGAAATTCGCGATAAACATCTTCTCTTGTCGATGGATAGGCATTGGCATGTTAACTGTTTAAAATGTTCTTGCTGTGGCATAAGATTAGATGACGTAGCAACAAAATGCTATTACAAATCTGGCTTGATTTTATGTCAACGAGATTATATCAGGTGTGTTATTACTTCCATATTAATTGTTATTCTTTTAAACTTATGTATCTATTTCTTTGATGATGAGATTTAATTTACCCAACTCAGATCACAAACTCAGACACTAAAATAAATCCGTAGTTTCTATAGTTACTATTTGTTAAACCAGGGCATGATCGAATAATATTTTTTAAATTAATCTCTTTTTATGAATTAGTTTAATTGCGTAATATTTTTTGTAAGTGCTTACCGGTACTTTTTTTCTTTTTTCGTTATCAAATTAAACCTACCTTCTATTTGATGTTATGTTTTAATATCATGGATAGTAAGCCATTTACTTTTACAAATTAGCTATTACTAGAATATTAACCCAATTTTTAAAGCAGTTCTCCGTCAGTTATAATTTTTTTGACCTTGATCCATTTTATTAGCAATTGTTGAAAAAAAGAGGTTATAGCCAACTTAGTCGCTCTGATTGACTACAGCGTCATCTAAGTAAATGATTGGCTTCTATTTTCTTCTTGAATATATATTACAAGGTATCATTTTGACACGAAATGGTTGAAAGGATTCAGTTTAGCAATATCAGATAGAATTTATCATGACATCGATAGCACTTTTTTTAGTTATATTAAGGTTTATGTACTTATATGATTAGACTATGTTACAGTAAATTACCATCAGATCTTAGATGATCTAATAAGTTCTTTTTCGCTACTAAGACGTGCTCAATCGACATATTTTTATCGCAATGGACCTGATTTTGCGTAAGACAAACTTATTTGATCGTAAAAAATTAAAAATCTTCTTCAAGACAGCTGCCTTCAACGAAGATATCATACAGATTCAACATTAAGGCAGTAGTTCAGCAGTAGAATCTTGAAATTTCTATTTATGCTAGCATTACAGTTCGCATTAATTTTGGTGATGTATATATATTTAATCAATCTATCTCTTATTTTAACACCGATCATTAATATCAATAATACTATTTTGATGTCGTTTAAGACCAGTTATCATTTTTTCGCCATGACTGCTGACTATCATGTCATCACTAATAAATTCCATTTATTTTGATCTCTTTTATTGACACTTTTCTTTTCATTATATACAGCCACGTTAATTGATTTCCTTTCAGTCAATTTCTTCTTAAACTTGTTTATTCTTTTCTTTGCAATCCATTGATTTAAATTCCGATTTAATTAAACCATTACATGCTGTAGGGGAATACTTAAGGGGAAATGAGGCATGATTGTTTTCGTCATCGGTAACCAAACGATTGTTCAATGTTATTCAATAATAGTTGTGAAGGCCATAACACTATTGTCTATTAATTTTTTAATTCTCATGGTAGGGAAACTAATTTATCATAGTAAAGCATGTTAGAATTGCTAATTGAATTGCGTGGTTTGAATAAATCAAGTAATTGTTTTCAGTTGGGTGAAAGTCGTTTACTTCAATATATGTAAACTTGCTATACATAACTACATCCTCCATAGACACCGATATTTTTATAGGGATTAAATATCCTACTATTTTCTAATTATCTTCACTTATTCAACTTGAAATCGTTCAACAAAATGAAATGAAATGATTCTCATTGTCATCATATTCAACCCTGTTAGACACCAGGTGTACAAGATAACTGTAGTTGAGCATTTAAGGTTAGCTCAATTTTTCTCATCAATCGCAATCTTTTTTTAACGAATAATATCTTCAAACAATATTATGAATTAAAGGTGAAGAAAAGCAATAAGCAAGAAGAATACGGTGTGATTCTCTTTTTTCCCCCTTGTCATTAATAGAACATATCAATTAGAATAATTCAATCATTTTCTATTCTATTCAACCATGAAATATTATCCCAAGGTTAAATTCGTTTTAACTTTTCAATCCAAAAGGAGAGAGAGAGAAAGAGGAAAAATCGATATTTAAAATTGTACAATGACTTACTATGAGTTGCCTAAGAAAAGAAAAGAGTATTAGGTTGGCAGAGGCTACTCATCAGTTGACAAGTTTTTTATGATTTAATAACATTATGATCTGTTTCCAATTAATTTTAATTACACCTATTATCTTTTTTGATATCATTAAAAATGATTGCTTTTATAATTAGTATAGCTCATATCACAAGATTACATAATATTCTGATTCATTGGTTTACACTTCTACAGTATAATCATAAACTGATCTTAGCAATAAATTGATTATACTTTATTACTTCGTCATTCTTATTATGATAATTATATTGATCATGATGATTACATATATTGATTTTTATTACTCGTTATTGTTGTTATGATAATTAATATTTATAATAGCATGGTAGTATTCTTATTTGACTACAGTATGAAATGATGATTGTATTCTTTCATCTTCAAAGTTTCTTTATAGATCATAAAACATGTCATAATATTAAATGCCACTATTACTATTCTACAGGCGCTTTGGTAGTGGTGGCAGCTGTGCAGGTTGTCTTCAGGCAATATCACCCGACGAGATGGTTCTCAAGTTAAATCAGAGAGCTTACCATCCCAATTGCTTTACCTGTGTAGTATGTACAAGTCGATTAACATCGGGTGATCGTTTCCGACTAGTTAACGGCCATATAGTATGTGAACATCACAGTAATACATCGTTGGCCACAAAGAAGACGATGAATAATTCTTTATGCCGGAGCTAAAAATTCCGATCATTAGCTATTAATAATAATATGAATTTGAAGTCAATCTTAGTCTTACATAACATTTTATGTCGAACTGAATTTCGACAAAAAAGATACATGAAGGAGAGAAAAATTTTATTAACATTACAAGTGTTCTGATTTTAAAATTATCATCACCCACATTGCAAATGTAATAAGATCTTGAATTATTAAAATATGAAGGAAATTAAGTTGTTGAGTAAGAAATTATTAACGATTATGATAGTATTACATAATACGTATTTCTTGATTTTCCTTAAAATCGATAGAAATTTTAAATTCGATTTGCATTTAATACAGAGTCTAGGTAATTTGGCTTTTATCCCTTAGCTACTTATTTTATAAATATAGGGCGTAATTTTGTAGTATAAAATTGTAGTGTCCTATTACAGCGATGTAAATTTCCCTATTCATAATTTTAACTTCAATCACGAAGAAAAGCACTTTTCCTTTTTATTCTCAATTTAAAGTATATTATTCCATACTATCAAAGCTTGAGAGCATCTAAAGACGAACTAATTGACGCATATATATTCGTATATACAATAAATAAGTTGTAATAAAATGCCAACTAATTATGAACTAGTAGGTATCTCTATATAAAAATGAAAAACAGTGCTAATATAATTGCAATACTGTATATGTAATGATATTATCATTATCACTTTTATTATATACCGTATCGTTAGACACGTATGTTCATGCTTAGAATAGCTTCTTTCGGTACAAGAATATATTGTAGTGAACGTAAAGTTCTATCTACGGTATAGTACTTATGCAAGCGTAACATGGATAACTATTTGTCCAGGATGCAGTAGAAGGCTGACAAGCACTTTCCAACTTTATCTCATTAAAGCTATAGGCAACTATATTCGAGATGCTGTACAGCTTTGATATCGCAATAAAATTATAAAATCAAATAATATAATCATCTCATATAAAATGTCATCAGAAATATACTATTATCAATATTATCTTCTTGACCTTAAAACGGTAAAAACCCAAGATCAAATACTAAATTATTTGATTATCAAAACGCATTTCTGTAATCACTTATAAATAAAATTATGCATAAATTATGACAGGCTAAAGGGGATCTGGTAAATTAATCTAATGGTATCCATTTACTTTTACCTATTTTGTAAATTAAAGAACAACAAATTCTTATTTATTATATTGACAGTTTAATGATTATATATATATATATATGCACCTTAGTAGTTTATATCGTTCAGTACACATGGGATGACCTTTTATATTCATGATGAAATCAATTAACTAATTAGTATTGTGTAAACAAATAGGTATATTTACTTTATGTCTTCTTAACATTGTAGTCAATTACTGGAAATAAGATAATAATATATTATTATACTTGGCAAGTAAAGAAGCGATTAACTAATTTGTTCAAAGAAATCATTACAGAGTCGATTTGCCAAAGCAACCGATTTAAAGCTTTTTTTAAACTATCACCTGATAGGCCGTATCAATTTTTCTAATTAGTCCATGAACAGATTTATTATTAGAATATACAGTGACGTATCTAAGATACTGGGATTCTTCCGTTGGTATATCGTTATATTAAGTTATTTACTAGAATAAAAGATATAGGGATTGCTTATTTTTCGCTTACAAAATAAATAACAATAATTTATAATTGGAAAGAGATTGTTGACTGGCAGCAGAATCGTAAAATTAATATAAAATTAAGTTCATCTGCACATGTTTTCAATGATGATTAAACAATCAACTTGAAGTGATCGGTAATTAATTTTGCGATATAGCTTCAGTATCATATGCAGCTTGATGACCTATTTGCACTACCAACTGGAAGAAGCTACCATATCAGATTATGTTTCTTACTATTATACGCGTAGTTTGTTTGATGTATCGGTAATATTATTTGTATTATTAGATACTCTACTTTAATTCTCCATAGAATAACACAATAAAGCCTACAACCATATATTCTACTTTTCAAATCATCTACCTCAAAGACACCATACGAGATTTTAAAATAAAGTTGATCGATAAACTTATAAACATTTTTTAAAGATGTAGTTTAGATATTTATTGCTGTAAGAGTATAACCTTAACTTTTAATTGATGATTAACTTTTTTTATGTTTTCAATACTTTAATGTAAAGAACTAAGAATAGGATAGCTTTACTGTAAATATTGATCGAGTAGAGTAGATAGTGCTCGTACTCAATGTATGCAAAATTTTGCGTTTGTTTATGTTGCATGGTACCGTATTATTGCTATAAGTAGTTAGCTATATCGATTTACTATTGCATTATACTATCTTCTAATATTCGGCTATAATCAACAGAGCGCTAACTTAACAGTAGTCAATCGCCTAAACTATTACCTAATGTTACTGAATAGGATTTTTGTTAATTGATTATACTATATAATATTCGTAATATCAGTTCCATTGATCTTAATAATAAATTCATTTGAGAGCCTACAAATGATCAACTACTAGGTTGTTCTAATGTACCCGAGTCATTAAAGCTGCAACTTCTTCTATCGATTCATGAGAAGAATTGAAATAAAGGTATACTGTACCAATTCATTTTGTTAACCGTTTACAGATGTGTGTTTTATTCCGTTTATTACTGATATATCGCATACTTTATTAATCATAGAAGTCTGTTTTCATCCAAAATATATTAGAGTGTATGGTTATCTTCCCGAGTATTATCTTAATCTAGACTAAATACTTTGGAGTTGATGGTAATATCAACCATCAGACTTCTCATTATATGAGATTTCAACTGTTTAGATTTAATAGTAGTACATAATCCGATATTAGAGTAGTAATTTTTAGCTATTCTGCATCATCAATTTTAAGATAAGAAATAAATATATGCAGCAATTTCTTTCAGAACTATGATAGTAGAATTTATAGTAAAATGATAAGATCGAGCTTATTATAAACTCTATTTAACAGGGAAGAAATCAGCTGCTTTCACGGACTACTTAAAACTTCCCTTTAAAAATTCGATCATATCGATTTAGTGTGGAGTAAATCGTATACAGATGATATGGTGTAATGACCATTTTAACCGCTAACTATGAGTAGAAACACATCAAAATTGTTATCAATGAAAACGATATCACGCGAATTTAGTGCACTGTACTGAAGTATAACTTTGCATTCAATTACGAAAATTGAGAAGAGTCTGGAGCTAGAAATACCGTCCAGGACTCAATATATCTAGCTACTAAAATTGGAGACCCTATGAAAAGCAAGCTTATAGTTTTATACCTTACCGCTAGATAGACCAGCATACTTGTTTACGATATACTCGTATCATAAAGTAGAGATAGTATGGTTTATAGCAGGCTATCATAATTTGTCGTGAACTGTATCATCCAGCCCGGTTTAGTCATGGACTACTAATATGTTCCCAAGGAAACATGTTAGTAGTCCAAGGTTAAGTACAGCAAGTAGGAGAAGTAATCTAGCATCGGTGGATTTGGTCGCTGAGAATTTACTGTATTTACTTTATTTTTACCGCAACATTGATTTCATTTCGCCTGCCAAAAATAATGAAGGCTACACAAGTTGCTAAGACAGCTTCCCCTGTCTAAGTTCACGAAATCCGGCTGCTCAAAGCTACTCATGATGAGGCTGTGATTAAGGTGAATGATGTAGACTTTTGCCATAGTGATCTGTGCTTATAGGATGGTGACTACGAATTTAGTGAAGGAGGATTCATGAAATTTGCAGAGAGAGGAGTCAATTATCATTCGACAACACCTGGCCATAAAGTTGTTGGAAGTGTCTATCAGATAGGTTATGAAGTAGTTGACTTGGCTATTGGGATAATTTACTTGTATTTTAGGTGTCCAAATTTTCTTCTTGTGACTTATTTTAAACCATATCTAAGATGTTTAGCACTATTAGAACTGATCTTTCACTGACAGTCAAATATACTATACATGCATGTGTTAACGAATCTTATAGTTGTCGTCAAAGATGGCAAATGCAAGAATATTTATGGCATAGATCATAATAGCATCGCTCAGTAAGATTGTTAAACACGTAGGATCTGTATTTCGTTTTTACTGATTAATATCTATCAATCTTTCTAATTTTTAATTTAACTAGCTATTAGTACTGCATGCAGGAAGTTATTACGATTTCTATTTCTTAATAGGCTATTGCTGGATGATAGCAAGCCCACTATACTGTTCGTAGTATTCATTTTCGAGCCTAACTGTACTGTTGATTCCATTTGAAAGCGAATTAATGCATGCGTCGTCTATTGCAGAATAAATTTTTATATCAAATATTTATTTCGATACTTTCAAATTAGTTACATTTGCTACTGTTTTGAAAAACAACAATCCATATCAAATAATTTACGAGATATTTCGTGCCATAGACACCTATGTATAGAAACGAGTATAAATTTATAGGCAGGATAAAACTGGATGACGATTATGGTATAAAATAGAATGTTTAATTATCCTACTCGCATGAGTATGATGCACGATTTAATATTTCTACATAACAATAAATGAACAAGAACTGGCTTTGATAAAGCTAGAATGGACCTGTAATTAGTTCTAAAATAATGCAGATATGCTCTCTATATAGTAGGAAAGCTACTAAAACATCAGCGGCATATTATTAATTGATGATAGTATTTCATATTAACGTAGTATACTTACATATCTATTTTGTTACTGCCAAGTAGCTACAGGTGAGCGCTAGTAAGAATTAGTTAGACATAATTTTAAAATCGCTAAAGGGTATATCGTAATTTATATTGCCACGCTATACGTAAGATCAATTCCAATCATAACATTGATGTTTTCTAATTGGAGGGTATATCCAGACAATCACCAACCTTAGCAATGAGAGACAATTGTTAATTCATGTTTACTAATACTGAGGAATTCAAAATTTTTGTAAGATAAGGTTCAAAGGCTTTTGGGCAATGTACCCTCACCAACGGACGTCAGGCATCTAACATATTATGCAAAGGTTTCTTTTGATATGATTTTAGTGATGATAATCTAAACTACAATGCCAGATTGAATTAGAGTTGAGAATTATAGCACAATCCCAGTAATAAAATGCTATTTAATTACTAGTGTTCCCATACATACAAGTTTTTTATATAATATAGATTAGTAAAATCTATACTGCTGTAATAAGGTTGAGTTAATTACATTGAGATTGTTATGGTAGAATAAATGCTAGAAAAGAATGTAATTTTGTGACAGCATATGCATGTTTGATACTCGCTTATTTATCATTTTTCGCAACCGCAATCTTGCTAATTAGTGATGGGAGTCGTAAACATAACAATTGAGCATATAGTAAATTCGGTACGGCAATTAGGGGTAACAATATTAAAAGTATAGATCTCAGTACAAAGACTGCATCCAGTATCAACACATCGAACCAATATTCTAAGTCTGGTTAATTCTTCCATTAACTTCAATTTTATTAAGAATATGAATTTGAATTAATGAATTATAATTTTAATAACTGGCTGAAATAATTCAGATCATTATACAAACAAGTAAACATTTAGTATTATATCCAATCCGATATAGATAATCAAGTAATATTACGGTGGTAATATCTACCTTAAAAATGCTTAATTAGCTCTCTTACTAACAAGCGCATAGGAACTTACATATTTATAGCGTAAAGATTTCTATAACTGGCCATAATAATCCAAATTGCTACACATACAAGTAAATATCTAGTATTGTAGCCAATTTAACATAGATTATCAAGTACTGTAATACTGCGGTAGCAGTATCTACTTTAAAAAATGCTTTAATTAGCTCCCTCGTTAGCTCGTTGAATTGAAACTATTAATGTTAGAATCATGGCTAATCATCCTTAACACAGGTAAGTAAAGTTTTTAATTAATCGCAAAGCGAATACGGGCATAAATTACTGCCAATATCCGATAATATTTGTCATAATGGGAGCCGGTCGTCTAATGCATATGCTTGGTCTACAATTAAGTTATTTCAATAGAATCAATTATTCAGTTATGATTGAATGGGCTGAAGTAATTGATCTCTTATCTTTAGCACGTTTATTCTGAAACCAAACTTGGACGACCCTTAAATCTAAACCAACCTTGGTAGCAATCATTTCTCTGGTAATTCTACTTGGTCTCGGTTTAATTCGATAGACCGAATTAAGCATTTTTAACTGCTGTTGTGTTATAGATGTTCGAGGTCGTTTAAGATTGGGATGATGTAGCTGAAAATCTACAAAAAAAATTGTGATAAATTGGGTAATCCATATCTAATCAATATGTAGAAAATCTTTAGATCAGGCAATTTTTTCAACATTTTAGCAGCTACTTAGCTTACCATCGCTACACATTATGGCGACATCATAATCTTCTTTACAAATTGGTTTACCTTCATCCGAAATGTAATATTTATCGCCTACTTTAAATTGTCTACTACATACTATACAAAGGAGGCAGTTAATATGATAGCAAGAGCCATGAAGTCGGTAAACCATCTCATCCGGTAAGATACCAAGATTGCAACCTTGACATTTACGTCCAAATCGTCTATTGCAATTTCGTGTACCAGTTGATACCAAGATAGTATGGGAGGGTTACGAATAGCATCATAGTTCCAATGGGAGTATTTAAAAAATTATTTAATATATTAAATTCTTCAAGAAATCTTCATATAATTACGTAAATATTTTTCTTGGAAATACAGCTAATCTTGCTTTGAGTGTTAAAAATAATCAACCATCTAAAGTTGTATGAGTATAATCTAGCATGACATCATTATTGGGTACTAGGAATTTAAAATTCATGCTATACTAATCGACGCAGTATCAGGAAGAGGATGATAGTTTACAGGTAAAAGTTGTAGTCTCTCATGAAATAAATTACTAAGTAGGGATATCATAGTATCAATTATTTCAAAATGAATCAATATCCCTCTATTTATAGAGAATGACTGGTTAGTTTACGTTACCTGTAGTAATGCATGCTGCAATAGATTGACTCTTCCTTTACAAAACATTTTCCTTCGAGGTTTTTACCGCAATCTATACATGAAATGCATTTGCCGTGCCATAATTGATTATCCATTTCGTAAATGTTCCTATCGCGAATTTCTTCTTGGCATTTAAAACACAGCAATTCTAAAATAAAAATTACATAAGATAGCAATGTTAGTCATTAGAAATTTACGGTATTGCCAGAATTTTACGAGATTAGCATTGAGATTAAATTCCTTATTATTATCGAAATGACTCAAATGCGCTATAGTAACGCGTAAAAGCGTGGCGATATCCTTTAGGCGTAGTGATAATGTTACTGCCACGATTTAATAAATCATGCTTAGAGTACATAACTGGAATACGGAGTAAATCAAGAGTTCTTCTTGTCGATAGTTTATCGTAGATACTATTATAATTTGAATTTTTTTGTCCTAAAGATTAATTCGGCTATAACAATCCCGTTATTCGGATTTATTTGAACCCTGAGAATTGGTTTCATAACAATTACTAACGACGTAAAGTAGGACTATGAAGCGACTTGATCCAGAATGATTAGATCGAAAGTGATTCATTTCCTTAAAAGCAATGGTCAATAATTCTGTATCAAATCTACTATACATATTAGATGAGAATACCTTCAAGATAATTGACTTCGTTGACTTCTGTTTGAAGATTTTGCTGTAGCTTGGGTCTAATTTCGATACGTGAATCCTTTATATTAATAAAATTTCATTACTCGTCGTTATGTAAACCATCATGCAGGTAATAACGACTAAGAAACCTAGTCTAAAAGCTCAACTCAATTACTGCTGTAATAAAAACGATAAAACATACGTAATCTATCTGATAAGCATATAATTATTATTTAATTCTCTAGTTTATACAAATTAAATAACATGGAAATCACAAATTCAACGCTGATGGCTATACTGAAATCTTACCATTTCGGCGACTATCTAATTCCAAAAGCTTCAAATCTTTTCTGCAAGACTTAAATCTACCATGCAAAACAAAGAATGAATACTTATATCATAAAATAAGTTGAGACAGTATGAGATATGATTTGAAGATTTTAAGAATATCTAAATGGCTGCATCAGAATAATTAGAAAAATTAATCCAGTAACTTGAGCAAGAAATTTCTGATATAATTTTAATTTAACTAACAGGAACGAGTTCGGAATTTTAATTGATTAATATTTTGGTTATTAGATTGCTTACCTTTGAAGTATATTTCTTATTCTAGTTGCTACTCCCTGTGCTTGCATGCAATAACCCCTAGATGAACAGTTTACAGTATTTCCGAAGATTGAGCATTTAAAAGTGCTTAGCAGGGTGTATAATGCTGTAATTACAAAATCAGGAACTTTATAATCTATGTTACCAATAGCCATATCGTTGCTCTTGGATTATAAGTTCATTTGTAATTTCCTCGACGATTGTTTAAATCCGGTTTATTTTACATTATTTGTGAACGTATACATACATAATAGCACTCGCTGCCATATTCTAGCCATTGGCTGAAAATGGATTAATATCAAGTAACAGATGGTAAGCTTAATTTGATTAACTTTGGTGATCAAAGGGTAAATTTCAACAATATATATGACTTTCTGCGTGATATGAATAGCGCCTGGTTGATAAAATCGTCTAATCAAATTATTTTTGTTGAAGATATGCCAAACTAAGTAAGACTAACTGTTAAAGTCTACGATCCTAGTTCACAAAAGTTGCCAAAACTTTAAATACACTAGAAGAAGCAAATAGCTTTCAGAAAATTAAATATTAACCACTACAGCTATTTTAAAAGATTAAGAATTCTAAAAATTCCCAAATTCTTAATAGACTAAAATGAGGAGTATGTAGCTTTCAGAAAACTAAATATTAGGTATCAAAACTGTTTTTAAAGTCTTTGATCTTAGTTTTCAAAATTGCTAAACTTTGATGGACTAGAAAAAGATGTAAGCAATATTCAGGAAGCTAAATATTAGCTACTATAACTGATTTAAAAGTCACCAATTCTGTAGCTGTTCTCAAAATTACCAATCTCTTAATGGACTAGAAGGAGTATGTAGCTTTCAGAAAGTAGAATTTAGCTACTACAATTGATTTTAAAGTCATCAATCCTAGTTTCTAATAGCGTCAAACTATGGATGGACTAGAAGAAGTATTTAGCTTTCATAAAACCAAGTATTCGCTACCACAGCTGTAATTAAAAAGTCTTTGATTCTAGCTATCAAAATTACCAAACATTTAATGGACTAGATGAAGTACGTAGCTTTCAGAAAATTAAATGTTAGCTTCTGCAATTGCTTTGAAGTCTTCGATTTTAACTATCGAGTTATCAAACTTTTAAAGGCCTAGAAGAGGAAGTGCTGTACGCTCATTTTGTCTTTAGATATATAGAAAAAGAAAAATATGACTTAAACTAACGTATAAATACTCTACTTTATACCAACATACAAGAATTATCAAAGCACGTGGTAATAATTCTTATATAATTTGCCATCTAAAAACTTAAAGCATTAATAAACATACCATATGTAGCTTTCAGAAAACTAAATAATAGCTACTATAATTGCAATACAATGTCTTCGATTCTAGTTCTCAAAATTATCATATTTCTAACGGACTTAAAAAAGCATATAGCTTTCAGAAAACTAAATTATTGCTATTACAGCTGATTTAAAAATCATCGATTCTAGTTCTCAAAATTGTCCAAAAAACTTTAATGGACTAGAAGAAGCACGCAGCTTTCTGAAAACTAAACTTTAGCTACTAGTCGCAATGTTTACAAGATTATTAGATTTTCTACTAGATAGCTCTAATTCTCTAATCTGATGCATGTTATTGGCGGTAAATTGAGTTATCCTAATCATATTATTGGATACAATGGATGGCATGCCACACGATTTACATATTCATATTGACAGATGAGTAATACCCCACTGTTGTCTATTTCTGGTGTAAGGTGCTCAATAATAACTGCAGGGATGCTACTATCTCATCACGTTCCATTTTGATCTAGCTATAGCTCTCTCATCGATTTTCTATCTCATCATGCTTATTCAAATCATTTATTACTAGTAGCAAATCGTCTATTTAAATATGGAGTAGATAATCATATCAAAGTTATCTAATATCAAACGGCACCTTCATCCTTATTAAATATCTGGCCCAATCAATGTTCTATTCCATCATTGTAGGGGATACCCTTGATTCAATCCGATAATTGTTTTGCGATGCAAAAATACATTTCGTCTACGTTAAGATTGTAATAAGTTCGTAATCAATGGATAATTCATCTCATTGCATTCACATTAAAGTTAGTGTAGATTCTGTTCTTATAGTATGGAAAATACAGCAAAATCAACTGCCTTGAAATGAATATTATACCCTATATAAACACAGCATGCAAGATGCTTATGAGGAAACGTTATGAAATCTAGGATCCTTGTAGGAACATGAGCTTTTCTATACGAATACCAGTATATTTATAAATTATTATCTGCTCTTGTCATCTTCTCTCATTGTCTTGTCTCCGATTCAAGACAAATTTTAGTTATTAGTTATTAGAGTTTCGCATTTGTGTTGTGCATTTCCTTAGGCAATCTTATTTCATTTCTGGAATACTTATACAGCTTTAGAACTAAGGCAACAAGTCTTAAGAGCTAAAGTTGTACATTTGAAAATTATGAATTTTTAAGGCATACCAATACATGTGACTCGATTATAGAGTTTCAACAATGATGTGATAGCAGCCATTAATCAAGGCGAGCATCTGGCTAAGCAAATGAAAAATATCGCAATTTTTCTACTGCCTTTACAAAATGCAAAATAAATTGGCAAGAAGCCTAATGGCAAAAATTAAAAATATGATCTTCCTTCCAGTTTCTCAAGATTTAAGTTCTATTGGCATAAGATCTAACAAGTGAAATTCATTACCTTGAAAAAATATGCTGAACTTGTACATATTGTAATCACAAATAGCTTAAGTTTGAAGATGGAATTAAGGTTAGAATTAAGTTAGATTAGAAATTTTTACAAGTACTTATTCTTCTACATTCATAAAGTCTAGATTACAAAGAAAAGCAAAATTTATAAAATCTAGTTTTACTTATTCATAGAAGAGGCTTACAATCCATTAAGTCATTTTCTACGTTCACCAAGTCTGATTTCGCGAAGAAAAGCGAAATTTATAAGTCTGGTCTATTTTTGCATATTCTTGGAAGAGGCTTACAGCGGAATATATTGACACAAATGCAAATGTCTAAAATTTGAAACGTGATCTCTTACCAGTTTTATAAGATCTAGTGAATGAAATCCATTGCCTTGAAATATATACTGTATGTATTGCAGTCCCCAAATAGCTCGAGTTAGAGGTTAGATTAGAAGCTTTTAAAAGTAGTTCTTCATGGAAAAGGCTCACGGTTCATTCTATATTCGTAAAATCTAGTCTAGTTTTACGTATTCATGGAAGAGGCTTACAGTTAATTTAAACAATTTCTTTATGCATTTATAAAGTCTAGCATTAAAAAGGAAAGTGGAATTC